GGGTTTTCTCCCACATAAAATTGGAAGTATCCTGGCGACGTTTCGACGAAATCTCATTCATCATCTTCAGGCTTGTGTCTTCGGTTTTGTGCTTCTCGGAGCATAATAATCCTACCAGCAGACAAGCAACAGTGGTTATGAACACATCTGACTACCAAACCAAGTTAACCAACCTACTCCAAGACCCCACATACAAACCCCTAAACACAGACCCCACCACCTACCTAGAAAAAACCACCAGATCCAAAATAAAAGCCTCCCCCATCAGCGAAAAAATCCAGCAAAAATCATACCCAGAGAGAAATCATCCAGATGCCCTAAACTTTATGGTCTCCTCAAGATACACAAAGAAGGAACCCCACTTAGACCAATAGTCAACTCCATAGGCTCACCTCTACAAAACTTAGCCAAATTTCTTGCCAAGCAACTACAGCCCTATGCAGAATCCATCAACTCACACATAAGAAACTCATTCCAGTTCATTGAGATCATAAAGAAACAAAACTTACAGCCCAGTGACCTACTAGTGAGCTTTGATGTCATATCCCTCTTCACCCAAGTGCCTATAAAAGAAGCCTTGACAGCCATCCAAAACAAATACAACCCCCCAAGCACATTCTAGATCTGACCAACCACTGCCTATCCAATACATACTTCACCTACAACGGACAAAAATACAAAAAAATAGGAGGAGCACCCATGGGATCACCCTTCTCACCTGTCATTGCAAACCTCTACATGGAACACTTTGAAACACAAGCTCTAGAAAAATATGATCACAAACCCAAACTCTGGCTCAGATACGTAGATGACACCTTCATAATCTGGCCACATGGGAAAGAAAAACTGAACAACTTCCTCACACACCTCAACAGCCTACACTCCAAAATACAATTCACCATGGAAACAGAAGCTAGCAATCAACTTCCCTTCCTAGATGTCTTAGTATACAAAAAATCCAATGGCTCCCTAGGACACACCATCTACCAGAAGAAAACACATACAAACCGCTATCTACACGTACTCTCACACCACCACCCAGCAGAGATCAATTCCGTAGCTGAGACACTCATCTTCAGAACAAAATGCTTAGCCGACAAACAACACCTAAAAACCGAACTACACACTCTCACTGATATACTAACAGCCAATGGATTCCAAAGAAAGATTACCCACTTAATCCAAAAAGAAACCCCAACCAAAATCCAAGACAGAGGACAAGAGAACGGCAAAGCCCTCCTCCCATATATAAAAGGCACTACAGACAAAATCAGCAAGATCCTCCAAAAACACAACATTAAGACAGCATTCTGCACAAACAGAAAAATATCCACCATCCTAAGAAACCCTAAAGACAGAATCGAGTTAGAAAACCAAGGAGTATATGAAATCCCATGCACCGTCTGTCCCACCACATACATCGGACAAACCAACAGAATAAGTGCACACATTGAAGAACACAAGAACTCAATCAAAAAAGAAGAACCGACCTCTTCCCTGGTCCAACAGCTCAAAGCCACAGGACATGAGATTGACTTTAAAAATACCAGAACTATCGCCAAAACCGAACACTTCAACAACAGAATAATCAGAGAAGCCATAGAGAGAGAAAAACGCCCAAACAGCATGAATAAATGAGATGATACCTCACGCCTACCAGCCATTTGGAAACCCGCCCTCATTAACGAACGAGTACCTAACATGAAGAATGACACCAGACCCACACCCACGAGGGCCACACAAGATGCTACCACCACACTTCCACGTAGAAAGCAGACTCACACCCACACAGATGATGAGACACGACCATGGACCAGAAGCCATACCGCAGCTACATCACTACCCGCTTCAAACCCCTCCGACCCATACATGAAACGAACAGACGCCTACCATGAAGATATGGCATGACCACGAACACGAAGCCAAACAATAGGATCACAACTCACCAGCTCAAATCCTCCAGCAACTAAGACCAACCTGAGCACAACCAAGCCCCCACCTGAACAGAACAC